CTATTCGATACGTATACTTGCGTAGTAGAATTTTAACTGACAAAGAGTTCGTTGAATTCACTTCCAACTAGTTCTATTAGTACTAGGGATGATTTGGCTTAGAAATTCTTGGCTAAGTTCTTTCCACCAGCTAAGGCAGCTAAGATGCAAAATGACATCACCTATTTTATACAATTTGATTTTGAATCACTATATGAGGCTTGAGAGAGGTATAATGATTTGCATAAAAGATGGCCTCACTATGGGTTATCAAAATGGCTGCAAGTTTAAACTTTCTATAATGGTTTGCTGGGACAAATTAGAACCACCATTGATGCTAAAGCTAGAGGTGCACTTATGAGTAAATCTATTGATAAGGCTTATGAATTGTTAGAGGAGATGGCTTCCAACAATTATCGATGGCCATCTGAGAGATTGAGTTCAAGAAAAATTTTCGGTATTCATAAGCTTGATGCAATTAATGCCTTGCCTTCACAATTGCTTGCTTTCACCAACAAAATTGATATAGTAGGTGTCCATGCTCTTCAGAGTCTTTTTTCGACATATGGGTTATGTGAAGATAGGCATTCCACTGATCAATGTCCTATAAATGCTGAATTTGTACAATTTATTGAAATTTTAATAGGTAGCAGAATAATCCATATTCCAACAACTACAATCTAGGTTGAAAAAATCATCATAATTTCTCTTGAAGCAGCAACCAAGAATCTACATTAGCCTCTAGGCCAAACTTTCCTTTTGGTTTTCCACCATAACCTAGAGCTCAAATGCCTAAAAATAAGCCTTTTGTGGAAGAGATATTCAAGCAATACATGGCAAAAATTGATGCCATCATTAAAAGACAAGTGACATCACTTTAGACTTTTGAGACACAATTAGGTCAACTTACCAATGCCCTTAATAATAGGCCTTAAAGAACATTACCAAGTGGCATTAACACCAATCCTAAAACTCAAGGAAAGGAGTAATGCAATGCAATTTCTTTAAGGAGTGGTAAGCAGCTTAATGAGGTAAAAGATAAGGAAGTGATAGATGGTGGAGATAAAGTTGATCAAGATAATACTTTTAGCAAGCAAGCCATACCACCACAAATTGATAAGGATAAGCAAGGGGAGGAAGTATCCACACCACCATAAGTCAAGCCATATATGCCTCATGTTTTTTTTCCTCAAACATTGAAGCAAAAGAAAATAAATAAGAAATTTGAAAAGTTTTTCAATGTTTTCAAGCAACTTCATATTAACATTGCTTTTATAGATGCTTTAGCACAAATACCTTCATATGTGAAGTTCCTTAAAGAGATCATGGCTAAAAAGAAGAAATTGGAAGAGTTTGAGATAGTTGCACTTATTCAGGAGTGTACTGCTATAATCCAAAATAAGCTTCCACCAAAGCTTAAGGATCCAAGGAGTTTTATATTCCTTGCACTATTGGTAGTTTTAAAATTTCTAAAGTTTTTTGTGATTGAGGTGCTAGTGTTTCAATAGTGCCTTTGTTTATTATCAAAAAGCTTGGATTTAAGGAGATACAGCCTACTCCAGTTACCTTGCAGTTTACAGATAGATCAATTAGGCACCCTGTTCGGATTATAGATAATGTTTTGGTTATAGTTGGGCATTTGTACAATCCGATATGTTTTGGTTAAAGTTGGGCATTTATACAATCTGATGGACTTCATTCTGGTTGAGATGGGAGATGATGTTGAAATTCCTGTTATTTTGGGATGACCATTCTTGGCTTTAGCAGAGGCAATCATAGATGTAAAAAATGGCAAAATACCTTTTAAAGTTGGAGAGGAAGAAGTAAAGTTTAATTTGCTCAATGCAACTAAGTATCCTTATACAGATAGTTGCTATAAAGTGGATTCAATTGGTGAGTTGGCTAAAGAAGAATTTGACGAGTATTATCCTCAAATGGCAAGTACAATAAATTTTGAGATTGGAGAACAAGTTTTGTAACTTTCCAATCCACGTTTCAATCTTTTTCCATCGAAATGAAAATCAAGATGGTTGGATTTTTTCATAGTGGTTAAGGTCTATCATTGTGGTATTAGAGAAATTGCTAGTGAGAGTGTTGAAACATTCATGGTTAATGGAATAAGCCCCAAGCCTTATTGAGATAGTGAAGAAGTCAAAAAGGGAGTACCATAATCAAGCTTGTGATTATAAAAAAGCACTTACTGGGAGGCAACCCAAGCTTTCAAAACTTATATTTTCTCTGTTTAGTTGATTTTCTTGGAAGTTGATTTTTTTATGGAAACTGAAACTTTATTTAGCTATTTGTATGCATATACTTATTTAAAGTTTTTAGGATCTAGAGTAACTAGCGCCACATTTTTCAACGATTTCTTATTCAATGATGAGAACTTAGTTGTCTTGTATCTTTAGCTCTCAGTAAATAAGGATATTGTTTGGTTTATACTAAATTCTTTTGGTAAGTATCATTGTTAGAATGTGATTTTCGCATATTAAGCATCTTGTCTTTTGTTTTGAATTGTTATGTATATCTAGAGAAAGTTTATATTAATGTAAATTTTGGAGTATGCCATGAATTCTAGAATTTTCTTGATTCTTTCGCATGGCGAAATCCTAGGCAACACTTAGTTAGGGAGATGGTTTAAGGCATCTTTAGATCGGTTAAGCCTTTCAAGCCTACCTTGTTATATTTTTATCCCTAGTATACCACTTTGAGCCTAATTTTCCTTTCTTTGTTTAAACACATAATAATTGAGTCTAGCCTTTCAAGTAAATTTTCAATTTTCCGTCCCTTACTCCTAAGCATTTATATTATTTTAGGAAGTGTGCTAAGCTATTTGTTGAAAAAGGTAGAAAAGATGAAGTTGTTGGAAAATTGAAAAATTCAAAAAATTAGTGATAAAAGTCAACCCACTACCTACAATATCAAGAAATAAGTTTGGGGGGTGCGAAATTGTGATGAAAAAAAAAAGAGAAAGAGAAGAATAAAGTGTTGAACAAAAGAAAAGTTTAAAGTTGAAGAAAGGGTGTATGTGGAGATTATGAATAAAAGTTCTTTTTAGGTCTTAGA